GAATGGGTTAAACCTTTAGCCTGATAGCTGACATCCCCCAGCTCCTTGAACTAGATGAGCTAGCACTGGCTTGTCTCTTAGACAAGCTTGTAGTGTGACCCCTTTCCCTCTGTCTTACTGTGCTTGTATACAGTATAGCTGAACTGTCCATGTACAATTATAGGAGCTTTTAAGCATTAACCATATTACAAATGCACATATACCGCTATGAACTTTACTGACAAAAGTGTGTGAATTTTAACGTTTGCTTGATAACAGGTTAATCTGAAACTTGGAACCACTGATGCCCTTTTTTTCTGAAAAGGGATAACAATTGCCTTTGGCAAACAAACACATGCTATATGTATGTAACATGCGTTGGCTCAAGTACTGCCATCTCCGGAGCGATGAGACTTGGGTCAGACTCTAATCACTGTTAAATTCTGTTTTTTGTTTCACAGCATATTAAGGAAGCCCTTTGATCTAGGGATCACATGTGCTTTGGCCTTTCTGCCCCAGTGATCAGAATCTTAGCAAAGGAAGATTTGAGCATGGTAATTCTTCAGAGGGAGGAGGAATAGCAAGAATAATATGAACACAATTGGTTCTGGAGTTCAGGAAGTCCATGAAGAACAAGTAAGCCTGCTTAACTTAGGCCAAACTTGAGGGCTACAAAAACTGTTCAGAATTTTGGAAATACAGAGATTGTTTAAAAAATAACTTTATGTATTGTTCTTTTGTAATACCGAAGGAATCACAGCATGATCTGCTGTCTGGCTTCATCACCTAATTTACCTCATTTATAACTTTCTCTCCAAGATAGAAAAGTTTGTTGGTTAGTGAGATTTTGCTTGTTTAAAAAAAAAAAAAAAAAAAAAAAGAATATAAGTTAAATATTGTGACAAAACACGAGCAATATCATAGCCTTAATTTGGTGTCTGTGATTGAGGTCAGTATGGGGTAGTGAGTTCATTTACCTTGGAGTATGTTTGAAACAGAATGTTGGAAGATCTAGTAGGATTTCTATAGCAAGCTTCAAGTGTGATTTGGTGGCATTCAGAGAATTAGAGAATGTTAGTTAAAGGATTATTTACGTCATTGCACGTTCTGTTTCCTGTATGCTTCAGCCCAGTTCGATTCCCTGCTTGTCTAGTTTCGTTGATCACATTGCTGGCATAGCACTAATGTGGTGCTGGTGATATATTAGACAGTGTGGCACCAGATATGTTTAATGTTTCTGAAGCTACTAAGATAATTCAGAGTGGGTTTTAGGCCAGATCCCAAAGTGCAAGAATCTGTTGTGGAAATATTTATATCTGTTCAGTTTTGGCAACTAGCAGGTTGTTTCTTGCCTTGTTTCCAGGTATAGATAAATCATTTTTAGTGACTTTTAATACCCTCCTTCCCTGCTTGTGCCCCCCTGCCCAAGTTAATGAGACAGCTAGTTTTAAAGCCATACTGAATAGTTGATTGAAAAAATTAAAAAGTGCAGGTAAAACCACACGTATTTATTGGAAAGCATTAGGTAGTGTAATTATAGGACTCATTATACAGCTCTGCCTGTAATTTAGCTGTAAAAACATAGCAGATAATGAGCTGCTGGAGTAACAAAAATACTGTGAGCAAGTACTTAAATATTTTCATTGTTGGGCACCCAGCATCTGAGAATGGAGGATGAACTCACTAATGAGAAGATGCAGCCAGTTCTAAATGTGCTAAGGAAATACCACTCTTGGACCACGACAGAGTATATTCTGTCTTTGGTGGCTACTTGAAGTGTGGAATTCTTGTCTTGGCTACTGGGGAGGATGTATTTTGCAATTTCATTTTGGTACAGTGATTCTTGTTCTGCCTCAGCATTGTTGTCTTCTGCCCTTCTTTATTTATAGGGTTGTCTCCTTCCCCTTTGGTCTTGCCTTTACTCAAGCAACAGTAGGGTGGAGCTGACATGATTTATGATGTTCTTGCGTCAGTGTTCTGACTAACATCTGTGAAACTCAACAGTATTGTTGATTGCATTCTGCTGTTTGTGTAAACTATTAGTTATGATAAGACACCCTGGAGTTGTATGTTCCCAAACTCAAGCAGTACTGTGTCAATCTAGATTCATAAGCTTTTTTCTTTCTTTTTCCAGAAACTGTAACGGTTAGTAATGTGAATTAGCATATTTTAGGCTGTGGATGGCTTGGATCTTCTGATCTTGCCAAGAAGGAGTTACATGCGCTCCTTATCACTTGCCTACCAGTTAGTTTGAGTGAATTTTTTAAATTAACTCCTTTCATTGTTTAAAGATCTTTGTCATCTTACCCGTAAGTTTTGGGGGTTGTAATTAATGTTTTGTGAAAGACTTAATGTCTAAGCAACCTGTTAGAACATGGCTGCACTGACATGTGATAGACTTCAGGGGATGGTTGAAAATACAACAATTCATGGATGCTGAACATATTGACAATCCAATTTTTTTTTTTCTCCTGAAGAATAGTAATTTATCAGAGATTAAATAGGGATTCTTTTTAATGCAAGTTGCTTGGTGTAGTCTTTAATGGAATTAGGGTTAAGCGAAATAATACTATGGTGAAATGTTGCGTCTTAATAATTTGAGAAGCAAACATTAGTGTGCTGTTACTGTGAAGAGATAATTTGAATCATCTGTGATTTCTGAAGTTCTTGACGCTCATGTTTTAAAAAGTGACTTAATTAAGTGAATTGAAGATATGTTACATGTTGAAAATGTTCGTAATCTTTTGGTTAATAATATTTGCCATAATCCATTTATGAGTGCTTTGCAAACTGTGTTTCGTCATCTCAACTAGCCTTCTCTAAACATACAAGTAATTTTTATTCTAAAGATTTCATAATTTTATTGTGGCTGAGAATTTGCATGCTTCTAATTCACAAGGGCATCAGGCTTGCTTGTAGTACCACTGCTGTATGTTTGTCCACTTGTGTTTACATAGTATTTGCCATTTCTTTTTCTGGCGTATACTGTTTCAAGAGGTGCATCTACAAAATGCATAGCACAGCCAATGCTATGAGCCTCTACACTGGATGAAGATTTTCGGGAATCATTAACACTTGTCAGCTTCCTTATTTTTGTTTTGCCTGAAAGCTCAGATGAGGAAAGAAACTTGCATGTGTTTTATACACTTGAATAGTAGCAGGAGCTTTAACACAGCTTAGTTTTATAGTCTATATATCTATAATATTTATATATATATTTATACTTCTAGCAGGCTGAGAGAGAGGGACTGGTGACCAGCCTGACCAAACTCAGCATGTGATTGCAACCACAGCGGATGCACTGGGCAAGTGTGCCCAGGCTGTGGGGGAAGGAGATTGGGAGCGGGAGAAATGGGACCATCTCTTGTTAGCAGCTCATGTTTGTAGTAGCTTAAAAGTAAGAAGTTTCCCCTGAGTTTCTCAGAACTAGGTAGTTCTTGGCAAATCAAGTAAACTATTGGAGCCCTTGTCCCATACCAGCTTTGGGAATGCCATGGCAAGGGCAGCTAAATAAGTCAGAATTAATTGTCACTGTATTTACCAGTTTGAGAAGTAAAAGTTGGGCATAAATTTTAGAATTAGTGCTCTGCAGATACCCTATATGTAAGGACAGTTGACAATTTTGTAGTGGTTTTTTGTTTGGTTTTGACTGTGATCCAAACCTTCTTTCCCTTTATAGCTCCAGAAGGTTTTCTGATATAACCAGCAGGATTTTCCAGCAATGGACATTTGTACTAGGAGTGTGTGTGTGCATATGTATACATAGGTATATATATGTACGATTTTGCTTTGTTTTCTGCAGGATTGGTAATTTGGGTCTCATTTACTCTGTTTTTTTCAGTAATTATTTAGCTTTTTTTCAGTGTAGAAATACACTAGAGAAAAGACATAGGGAGCCAGTACCTACAGTCTGTGCTGTATGTACAGCTATTCTGCATGGCTGTCACTGACCGTTAAGCACATAATGCATTTTCCGAAAGGGTTTTGTGAACGCAAGTAATGTAGCATTCCAGATCTTACACATGAAAATATTTTTCCTCTCTCAATTTGAATTTATGTCATTCATCTACTGGACCACTGGAGTGAATGTAACAGTCACAAAAAAAAATATCAAAACTCTAACTTAGATTGTAATAGATTTGATTTCTAAAAATACTGTTCAATAACTTGAAATAAAACAAAATTGTTCTGAAATAATGAGAAAGAAAAACCATGTTGTGTTTTGGTTCAGTCAGTGGACAGCACAGTTCTGAAATCTCAGGTTATAAGAAAGTTGAACCTTGAACTTTTGTGTGTGAGTAAAATAATGAGACATATTTTGAGGAATCTGTTACAGCATCCCAACAGCATTAGATTGCATTGCATGTATAGATCCAGTTTGAAGTAAAATTCCAATCTCTTCCTCTTCATGTTTTTCATCTCTAGGAATTTAAATCTCTTCTTTGATACTGACTTGATAAAATGGCTAATTGAACTTGTGGTGTTTTTACAAAATAGTCTGCTAGTAGTTTGAAAAATTTTGCAAGGATTTTTTTAAATGTAGTTACAGTTCTAGTGTATAAGCACTAAAAGAGAAATAGTCAAAAACATGCAATTTATGTTGTTTGTAACTGAAATACTGATAGAATTTTTAGAATGAGTTTTTCATGCATAATTGAGAGCAAAGAAGGCTCAGGGGTATCTGAAGATAATTTGTCCACAGAAGTTTAAAAAAAATTTACAGTATCAGTGCCTGAAACATTGTCATTATCTCTGTCTAAACCAGGATTATTTTTTTTTTCAATTGTGTGTTTCTTCTGAATGATCAAAACTGTATTTTTGCTGTTTTGAAATGATCTAATGCATATTTTCTGGTTATGTCCTGCCTTTATCAATATCTGTTGTCTCAAACTGCTGTATTGTCTTACGATGTTTTTAATTGTATAGAAAAATTGAGTAAAATTGTGCAACATTCTTTACCTTATTTCTTGATTTATTTTCATTTTCCTACTTTTTGCATTGAATGACAGCTGCTAGCCGGGATGATAGCAGAACCTGCTTTTCTCTCTGAGTATACTATCTTTGCTTTGGATCCTACCAAACAGCCTAAGCCACAGAGTGACAGTGTGGTGAGTCCTCCCGCCCCTCTTAGTGATGCCTTTAGCAGGGGGAGGAGAGTACTGTACTAGAAGGCAAACTAGTATTGCTTGTGGCTTGTTCTCACAAAGGCATTTATCTTAACTACCCTGTTGCTAACCCTGCACTAAGTTTCACGGAGGTAGTACCTGATAGCTCCTGGCTGGCGCGCTGTATGGTGTGAATTTATTGTGACATAAAAAAAATTAACACGTCTTCTGTTATACAGGTAACCATACTCTACACAACTTTTAAATAATGGTTGCACAAGTTTGTACGTTTGTTGCGTAGAATTCATTAATGCTATTGAAAATCTTAAGTTTTATGTATGTCTGTGTATTTCAAGATAAATGGATATGAGATTGTTTTTGTCTAAAAATTACATGCTTTTGCTGTGCAGTGAAAGCCTCACAATGTCACTTACTACTAATGGTAGCAGGAAATAATTATCTCACATAGACACTGAAATTCAGCTACTTCTAGTTGGTAACCTGGCAGCTATTACTGTGATGATAAATTGGGTTTTTTAAATAATTAGATTTTATTTTAAAATATATATTTCTTTGCCTGGAAATGTTGATTTCATATTACACAAGTGGAGAAGCTCAGCGAGAAGAGAACAAGGATGGGAGAAAAAGAAGCAGGCATTGGAAGGAAAGCAGCCTTCTGCTTTGTAACATACACACATACAAAGCTGTATTCTCATTATTGT